TGTATTCTATGCCACCTTGTTGCATTTTGACAGTGGCATTACAGAGAACTAGCTCCATTTCACCAAGGCACAAGGCACTAAGGGGTGGAGTTTTGTACACACACACACACACACACACACACCTTCTTTTTAAAAACTTATTATTTGAAAGGTAGAGCTGAAGAGAGATAAAGAAAAAGTCCGAGATCTTCAATCTCTTCATTCACTCCCAAAATGACCACAATAGCCAGGGCTGAGCCAGGCTGAATCCAGGAGCCTGGAATTCCATCAGAGTCCCAACATGGGGGACAAGAGTGCAGGCACCTTGGACCTCACCCATGGCTCTCCCAGGCACATGAGCAGGGAGCTGATCAGATGTGATATAACTGGGACTCAAACTGATGCTCATGTGCAATGCTAGCGTCACAAGTGGTGACTGAATCTGCTGAACCACATGCCAGCCACTGCAATAAAGTATCCTTAAATTAAGGTACATTTTGTAAAGGCAAGATGCAATGTGCCTTTAATAGACTTAATAGAAGACAACAATATAGAATAAATTTAACTTTTATATGCACTGGGACACCAAAAATTTGTGACTCACTTTATCAGATTCTTGTTTTATTGGAATAGTATAGAACTGAATCCATAGTATCTCTAAGATAGGAAAGATCTTTCAAAAATGTGTGACAAATATGTATCTTGAAAGCACTGTATATGAATTTCAAAAAATTTTGCACTAAAGTAATATTTTAACTGCATTCTTCCATTAGCTGTCCCCTTTAACCTGTATCCTTTCACCATGCTGAGAAGTACAGGACACTCAGGGCCTGGCCCCTGGACAGACACCTGCCCACAACAGATGTCATCCTATGAACCAATGAAAGGATTTGGCTGTATGCATGGTTCCATAAACTGTATTAAATGGCTACCACATTCTGGTCCTGTGTAAAGGCTGAGGGACATAAAGAAGAAAACCTGGCCCTAGTTCCTCATTCCTCTCAGGAGCTCTGATGGGCAAGAGTGACAAGTAAGTGCAAGATTGCAAACTAAGTGAGGCACATGGTGAAACGCTCAGTGAGCACTGCCAGAGGGTAGAGGAAGGGCAGAAATGGCCCTGGTTGCTTCTAGCCTCTGGGTCTGCCACATGTCACTGTGCATACTTGTCTCAAGGAATGACCAGTAGAAGATTTCTGCGCAAGAACTACAAGGTCCCCAAACAGCGCATGTATTCTTTTCTCATTGCAGAACAAGGTCAAGTGAGCACCTCTGGGTGGATAGCTCCATCACTCATGAATGGGAGATGACCCAGTCTTACTGCAAGCACAGAGGGTGGACGACGGAAAGCCTTCTCATAGGACCCGATCTGCCCTGGGCAGTTAGCAAAGCTGGTTCACCAAGGCCAGCTGGCCTCAGGACCTTTGTCTGCAAAAGAATGCCCAGGAGGTCCTTGCCAGTCTTCTGACAGTCTGAGATCCAATCAGAAAGTTTGGTCAGGCCAGTATGCCTGTCATTACAGCTTAGTGTCTTCCATAATTTTTCAGAAGTTGCAAAAAGAATAAGAACAATACTTCAAAGTCTATGGAGACACTGGTGCAGTGGCATCACAAACTAATCCTCCACCTGCAAACATTGGTATCCCATGTGGGCACTGGTTTGTGTCCCAGCTGCTCTATATCTGATCCAACTCCCTGACTGTTACCTGAGAAAACAGTGGAGAAGACTCAAGCGCTCGGTCCCTACACCCACGTGGAAGACCAAGAAGAAGATCTAGACTCCCGGTTTCAGATTAGTTCAGCTCTGGTTGGTACAGCCACTTGAAGAATGAACCAGCAGGTGAAATATTTTTTTCTCTTCTCTGTAAAAATCTGCCTTTCAAGTAAAAATATTAAAAAATCATTTAAAAATTTGTGGAAAACAGAATTAAAAATATGTTTATTTTGGTGCAAAAAGCTTTTGCAATCTGTGTAGTTTTTTTCATTAAACATGTTTTTCACAAACTTTCTGAAACTACCTCATATCTTATGGGAGGAACCCTTGGTAACTGCCAAGTTGGACTTTACTGAAGAAAGTAAAACCGGCATAATGTTAGGGATGAGGACTAATGACTTCTGCACAGCCCATAGCGGCAGTGAAATGGTAGTCCTGCAGTTTCAACAGTGTCGGACGCAGCTCGTCTAGACATTACCTGGCCACAAACCCATCAACTGGACATGTAGCTGTGAAATGTGACCGAACAGAGCCAGCTTTCTCTGACTTCTTTTTGAAAGCAGTAACAATGGCAGCATTTTTCAAAGCTTAAGCAATTCCACTGCATGTTTCCCCCCAAAATCATTGCAAGCAGCCAGTCAATTCCTCCTGATGGTTTTGGTGAATTTGCAAAACAAATATTCATGTAATTTACCAGTGTCCTAGGTACCTCCTGCGTCATGATTCAGCAGTAAATGTCTCATCAAATGGCTGTTCTTGATATTGTTGGAAGCTCTGCAGAATTTCAGAACCGTCAATAACTCCAGACAGAATCACTGCAGAGATAGTAAGAATTTCTTCTATCTGTAATATAGACCGCCAGCATGATGGCTCAATTGGACAATCCTTCACATAAAAACATTGGCATCCCAAATGGATGCCCGTTTGTGTCCCAGCTGCTTACTTCCCCACCAGCTTTCTGCTTATGACCTGGGAAAGACGCAGAGGATAACCTGAGTACTTGGGCCCCTGCACCACATGAGAGACCCAGAAGAAACTCCTGCCTCCTAGCTTCAGCTCAGGTCAGCTCCAGTCATTGTGGCCATTTGGGGCGTGAACCAACAGATGGAAGATCTTCATCTATAAATCTGCCTTTCCAATAAAAATTAAATCTTTTAAAGATAGATAGATAGATACAGATAATTTGTATTTGCATTATCTCAGTAACAGTTTCTCTTCAGCTACCTGCACCCCCGGAAGATGTGCTAGAGAAAGTGACTCAGGCCAGAGCTGGCAAATAGCAGGCTCACACCACTTTGTTTTGCAAGCATATACTTTGTGGGTTTTAGAGCTGGGAGGGAGCTCAAAGAGGAAACCAGCAAGCCAGGTTTCCGACCAGTGGAAGGGAAGACTGCAAGGGCTAACCCTCCATGCGTTATTTCCTGTCAGGCAAAGTGAGAGCGGTAAAACCTGTGCCAACGTTGGCCAATACAAGGCCATATGGTCCAGCAGATCACGTGGAAGTAGTATGGGTATACTTCAAACCGTTTGTGGAAAATGGAACTGAAAAGAAAAATACATTTGTGTCCAAAATAGTTTTAGGAATCCACGCACATCTCTTCTCAGCCAACCTTTCCACCACAACCACCAACACTGGTTTCCATGAGTGTTGGGTGCTCCCAGGTACGCGCTAAAAATGTCAGGTCACTTCCATGGGACAAAACCCTGGTCACGTGGCCTGCGTGTTGGTTCAACTGGCTAATCCTATACCCCCCAGCACAGGCATCACATTTGGGCGCCAGTTCATGTCCAGGCTGCTCCACTTCCTTTCCAGCTCCCTGCTTGTGGCCTGGGGAAGTGGTAAAAAATGGCCCAAAGCCTTAGGACCTTGCACCTACACTGGAGACAAGAGGCTCCTGGCTTCAAATTGGCTTAGCTCCGCTGTTGCGGTCATTCGGGGAGTGAACCAGCTGACGAAAGATCTCTCTGCATCTCCTTTCTGTAAATCTGCCCTTCCAATGAAAAGAAGAAAAGGAAAAGAAAAGCGGGCGGGGGGGGCGGGGAGGGAGGAAAGGAGAGGAGAGGAGGGAAGAAGGAAGGAAGGGAGGGAGAAATAGAGGAGAGGGAGAGAAAGAAGCGATCACATGCTCTCTTTCAGAACCTTTCCCCGGGGTCCTCCAGCACGCAGCTTTGACCGGGCAGTGCAGGACGCACCACACATAAAACGTGATCATTCCCATGTGCCAACTTCACAGCCAGCCCACAACGGGAGGCCAGAGGGTAATTCCGCAAAGAGCAGGCTTAGCACACGTCGAGGGAAAGTCTGATGACATTTTTCAATTTCCTTTTTTGGTTTCTCCGCACGGGGGTGGAACTCAACTCCATAGCTGTTACTACAATCATCACCTCTGGAATCACAGGGCTGCAGATGTCACCCTGGAAGTCTCCCAGAGACAATGTACCAGCTCGGAGCCAGTGATCCCCGCGCTCACTGGCCCCGATCCACCGTGAAGGTTGCATGGGCCAAGTGCCCTTCAGACCCGTGGGCGCTGGGTCGCTCCCAGGCACACCCGTGAGCGTTTTCCACCTTTGCGCGCCGCCGCCCAGCGCTAAGAGTGCTCTGGGAGGCAGGCAGACCAGATGTCCTTGCCGGCTCAGGGCAAACAGGTTGCAAAAGCAAGCCGCGGCCGCGAGGGGCCCTGCGCTCAGTTGCACTTTGGCTAGCAGTGCCTCCCTAGCCTCCGCCTGCGAGTAAACCGACTAAACGTCCAGGACAACGCCCTCAGTGCCCCGGACCCGAGCCCGGAGCTCCGAGCCCCTGCTGACGGCAGTCCCGAGGGTCCCGCTGTCCGATATCCACCACGGAAGGGGCATTCGCTCCCTTCCCTCCAACTCACGAACTCCTTCCTCCCCACCGGCCCGAGGGAGGTCACGGCTGAACGTCGCGGTCCTCCCAGACCCGGGGCCCTCGGGCACAAGGAGCCCCCGGGGGGCGGGCCTCGCAGCACCTGGACCAGCCTGAGGCCCATTGCAGCTTGGCGCTCGGCGGCGTGGTTGAATCACCGCTGAATCACCCCTTGCAGGGTCTAGGAGTTTCCTAAGGGGTAGGGAGGCGGGACAGGGGTGTGGACTCGCCCGGGCCGCCCACCGCGACGGGAATGACCCGCCGTGGAGGCGGGTCGGCGCGAGGAGAGGCGGGGGCGGGCGAGGGTTGGGGCGGGTCCAGGCGCGGCCCTCCGCACCGCCCTTTAAAGCGCGCCCCGCATCTGTCCCCGCAGAATCGCGGCCCCAGGGCTCTCGCCAGTCGCCCGCAGTCCACCCTTCCCAGACTCCCGGGCTCCCGCAGCAAACACCCGCCCTCCCTGTCCAGCCAGCGGACATGGCGCCCCCAGCCCGGCTCCGTGTTCCACGTCCTGAGTCCGCCGCAGTCGCTCGCACGCTGCTACTTGGTTGGGTGCTTGTCCAGATGGCCCGCGCCGCAGGTGAGTGGCACGCACTCCAGGAGGTCCACCCCCCCCCTCCGGCCCCCCGCACTGCCCCCGAGACGATGGGGACATTCCTGGATGGTGGCTGGTTTGCCCTGGCTTTCCCGGAACACTCCGGGATTTGATGGTGTGCTCTGCTGAGGGTTTGAATGAGACTGGACCTGGAAGGCGCGCAGGTGGTGGGTGCACAAAGGTGGCTCCTGCTCCAGAGCCGGTGTCCCTTGGCTGGAGCATGGCTACATAAGTGGATGATTGGCTCCCACCTTGGTTCTGGGGAGAATGCTTCCCGCTGAGCCTGCCCTTGGTAGTGGTGGGTCGTGGGAGTCCACACCTGAGCAGGTCAGCGCACCCTAGTTTGGGTGTCCACCGTTTCAATCTGTGTGCATCTTCGTCTGAGGAAGTGCAGCCCAGGGTCTTTTCTGGATCCTTGTGGCTTAGATTTGGGTAGAGGTGGACAGAGGTGGGTGGAAGGGAAGCAGGGTTATGGCTTGAGCAGGAGCAGGTGGCAGTTATACACACCCTGTATGTGGAGTGGGTGTCCAGAGCTAACCGGACACTGACAACTTCCCAGCACTGATCAATAAGTTCTCAAGGAGAAAACATCCTCATGGAATAGATCACATAGGGAGAGGGACCAAACATCCCCCTGGGCCTCTGGATGTAGAGATGGTGTAGACAAACTGGCCTTTCCTCCCCTGGAAGCTTCCTCCCATGCCTAGGATTTGCCTTGGCTGTCAGTTCAGTGCAGCCCCTTCCTACCTGACCTGTGGCGAATTGCACCTGTATCTGCCACAATCCCAGTCAGTCCCAGACACCTGGAACGCAGAGGACTCCTGGGCTGTACTTCCAGGCCAGCTTATATTCAGACATACCCTATGGGTAATTTCAGACATGGGTTCCAAGATCCAGGGATTTAGGGGCTGGAACTTTGATAGTTTGTTTCCTCTTGATCATCAGTAGTGAAGCTTTTGTGGTTGAAAGTAAATATGTACAGTTTACTGTGACGGAAGGATGGTAAAGTCAGTCCCATGTGCACACCATAACAGGGATTTCTCTGTTGTTGTTCAAAGACACGACAGATAAAGCATATAACCTGATTTGGAAGTCAACTAACTTCAAGACGATTCTGGAGTGGGAACCCAAGCCCGTCAATCGTGTCTACACCGTTCAGATAAGGTAAGCCATGTACAAAATAAAATGAGACAGCGACTTCGGATTTATAGTGTTTCTACTTTTCCTGTGCTGAGTGTGAAGATATCTTTACAGCTCATCATTTGATGATACCATTAAGAGAAGGAAGCAGGCACTTGTGGCGGTTAGCTGGTCCAGCGTCTGGTTCTACCAATCCCGCAATGTTTTCAGACCTTCCTACTTGGATTTTTTGGGGGGTTGGAGGAGAGGATGGAGGGGTGGAAGCGACAGGAAAATCTGTGGGTGGGGTGAAAGCTGGGGGAGGTGAGCCTGCTTGAGGGCTCGGTGACATTGAATCTCAAACATAGGTTTCTCTTTGTTCACTGTCTAGACTGAGAACTGCGTGGAACCTGTTAGCCAAGAGGTGGGGAGGAATTCCGGTGTGTGCATTGCCCTGCAGCACTGTTTGATTCATGAATCCTTGGGTTCTCTGAATCAAATATTAGTGGTCCACATGAGCCTGGAGGAGGCCAGATTCCTGACTCACTGTGTCTGGGAGAAAGGGTGGCAAAATTACTCTGTTGCCTGCTGCAGGGCTGCAGGGGAGACGGGGGTCTGGGTCTCTGACTAGCAGCTCTCCCGCGCTCTCCCAGCTGGTGGTTGGTGTATTCAACCTCTGTGTGCAGGGAGTGCCACCAGTTTTCCTCGATGTTTTTTTTTACCATGTGTTTGGCAAGCTTTTGGCTTCTGAAATATTCTCGGCAGCTTTGGCAGAGAGCTTAGGAAACAGGAGTGCGTAGAGGGAATTGTTTTCACACTCGCTGTGTAAAGACAAAGATCTCACTGGTGTTTTGCTGGTTTAGCTGTGTTGAGCCTTTTGGTGCACTGGGAGTGTGACATGGGGTGGGCTTTCAGGTGGATGTTCCTGTTTGTGAAGCTGAACTCTTGGATAACTCTTGCCAAACCAACAGGAAAAAGAATCTGTGTGGACATGTGCACATATGTAGGTAGACACACAGTGAGGAATGTCATAGCCTGAGATAGCAATTATAATCATGGTCAGGCTGGTCAACTCAGATTCCACCAGTTGAGAATTGGGGATTAAAGTATCTGATACGGATCTGAGGTTTGCCTTCATAGACATTTCCTTCTGAACAGTGAACCTTAGACTGGGGAGCCATGCTTACCTCCTGAGACTAGGCAACTTGTATGCTTTCCGCAACTTGCAGAAACGTACTTAGGATTATCTGATGATATACATAAGCCTCCATGAACACTAAGGTTTTTGGGACTGTGAGAGGCTGCTGTGAGACTGAGGTGAGTGCAGTCTGTGGGCTGCAAACCCCAGAGCTGAGGGCTACCGTGTGGGGGGCCCTGCTCCCCAGGGCCAGCTCCTCAGGCTCTGGCTGCTCAGCCGGAGTGGGAGCCTGTCCGTCAGCCTGCACCTGTGATTACAGCTCCCTCCTGTTCTCCCCATGAGCGAACAAGGATTTCTGGGTTAAGAGGACCATAGCAATCACCTTCCCGATGAGGGAGCTGCTGCTTCGGGATGTTGGAGAACAGTTCCCAGCTACTCTGTGGGTGAGAGTCCATGCCAGATAGGGAACCGAGGTCTCCCCAGGATCCTGCAACATCACCTTCTCAGACTGCTCTGCAAACAGCCTCTATGAGGCCCCAAAACTGGCAGGATAAAGGAGGAAGCCTTGTGTGGCATGGTGTGGTGTCTCCTTGGTGCAGGAGCGTCCTCCCTTCCCTTTCTATTCCCTGGAGGAAGTGTCTTGACCCACAGCGTGAAGTTCATCTTGAATTCCATGCAACTTGAACTCCATGCCTTCTGCCCTTGCCTCAGACACCTGGCACTTCTACCTTGCTGGGGACCCTCCTGGGAGCTCCAGATACACGCTCCGCTCTGGACACAGGGCTGGGTGGGTGGGTGGGAGGTGTTGGTGACCTGAGCTTCTGCACCAAGCCACCGCCTGTAACACCGAGTCCACGGGAGTGTTCTCGAAGCTAAAGCTGAATGTACAGAGCTTTCTAGAAACAGCCTTTAAGCAAATTCCTGATTGTCCATGTTCTGTTGGAGTATTTTTTTAAAGTATTTCAGAAGGGACTTATTTTTTTTTTTCAAATCAGGAGAGTTTGCAGTTCCTAGAGGAACCTTCACAGTTTTGAAAGGTTGATGTTGTCAGTGGCATCTGGAGGAGCTCAGGGTGAAACTGCCCCCTGCTCAGCTGCTTTCACGGCTCACAGTGATCACAGCCCACATTCCAGGCTTTGCCTGTAGCTTATGAGCTGGGCTGAAGCAAGTGCCGTGTCCTTCCCACGGTGTGTATTGTGGATCAGTGGAGTGTATCCACTTGTTCACCAAAGCAATGGAGAGGAAGCAGCATGTTCTCATTTACTGTTTTGATATGGGAACAATATCCTGAAAAGGCATGTTGCTCGCTCTGGGTGAAAACAGCCTCTTTACTTTCACGATCAAAATAAAGGAAATATAAGAAATCAAAATAGTTCCACATCAGTTTTAGTTTGTGAGTTTTAGGACAAAGACTGTATTTACCCTTTTTTTTAAGTTGGGTTATTTGGTTTCAGATTTTTGAACACACAATGTTGGCTACTGTGCAGGGATTTAGACAGCTGAACACGCACAGTGATTTATTTTTTTCCCCTGATGTATGAGCTCAACCTCCGAGTGCAGGCAGCTCAGGCTGCTGAAGCGGGTAGCCCCAGGGCCAGGGTGCCTGGTACAGAGCAGGCGGGCTCACATTTAGTGCTTTTGTGGAGAATGGTGCCGGGGTGGGGGAGGAGGAAAAAGGCAGAGGTCACTGGTGAGCAGGGAGCGCTGGAGATTCCTGGGAAAGTGGGGTTGGAGGCTGCCCTTGATCTACAGGTCAGGGCTGGCTCTTGCAGAATGAATGATGCAGCCCAGAGCACAGCAGCGTGTTCCTCACTCTCCAGGGGACAGAGGAGGCCGTCACATTATGGTGACACTTAACCTGGGCTTGTTTCGGTACATCAGCAGAATTTTGTTGTCTGTAGTTCTTTAGACAATTTCCTCTTCAATAATTTCTTGGAAAACAAACATCTTGGAGCCTCCAATGGATATTTCCTGTAATGATTCCATAATCTTGGGAGATGTTTTCCTGTTTTGCAAACTTGGGGAGACATGGCAAGTAACAAGGTACCCATGCCCAACTCAGCCACTTAGCCAGCTCTGTGTCTTTGGACAAGTTACAAGGTTCAGTGAAAAAGCAAGGCAGCACTTGCAAGGAACTGATTAGACAGAGCAGCCAGGTGTAAAGGGTCCAGCGTAGTGCCTGGTGTCCAACAGGGTCGATAAATGATTAACAGCCATTCCAGTAATGTTTTTAAAACTAGGTCATAGAATGCAGGAGGTTCTTCCAAAGGCTTATGGCACATGGGATTAAATATTTATTTTGGTGTGAGAAAATTTCAAATGCATGCATAAGTTTTCATCACAGGCAGGTTCCATGCACTTTTGATAATTCTTATACTATTATATAGTACAGTCACAAATATTGTTAAGTGACTGTAAAGACTAACTGTTGATATTTTTTTTGTAGCAAAGCAAGTAATATCACAAATGACTATAATGAACAGTGGGGCATGATGGGAAACTGCTTTTATTCCCGTGTAACCCTGATAAAGCATCCACATTTTAAAGATGGGGGACAGTCAAGAATGAGCCAACTTGGGAGACAATGCTCACCTGGTTGGAAGCCCAGCAGGCTGTTGTTTTGAGCGAATCACCCAGTCTGACTCGTCTTACTTGCCTGCATATAGAAATGGGATTGAGTACAGAGCCAGGGCTGCGGTGAGGACTCATGTACTCCTGTGAAGTGCCCAGAGCACTGCGTGGTCGCACAGCAGGAAAGCCCCCTGGCTGAGTGGACACAGCTCCTCACATTGTGTTCCTTCCTCTCTCCCTCCTGCCACCAGCACTAAACTAGAAAACTGGAAGAGCAAATGCTTCTACACGACAGACACAGAGTGTGACCTCACCGACGAGATCGTGAAGGACGTGAGGCAGACGTACACAGCACGGGTGCTCTCCTACCCAGCCAGAAATGAGAACACTACAGGGTCCCCTGAGGAGCCTCCGTTTACAAACTCACCTGACTTTACACCCTACCTGGACAGTAAGTAGCCCTATGTGTGCTGGCTTCCTGCAGATTCACATGCCCTGTGCCCCATAGGGGCCAGAAGACAAAAATATGTATCCCCAAATCTGCTTTAGCCCAGAAAATGCCAAGTCCTACAACATGCCTCACGCAGGGCAGATGGGCTGGATACTTCCTCATCTTTGGAGAACTTTCTCCACTGTCAGGTCCTGCCAGTGCCCATCCAGCTGTGTGCATGGGGCAGAAGTGTCACCTTTCCCCCACCTGGATCTCAGATCCTTGTGCTTTTCTGTCTTTGGGTCAGGCAGAACACCCTAGGATAAGACTTGGCTCCGGAGGACACAGACCCCTGGGGACCTTGGCAGCTCCCCTGGGCCGGAGGCTGGCTGGTCTCACTGACCTTTCCCAAACATTTCGTCTTGGATTGAGTCCTGGGATATGCCAGCGCCTGCCCAGCACTCAGCCTGCCTGCCTTGTGTTGAAAACAAATGCAAAAAGCCTTGCTTCCCACCCTTTGAGGCTCTGAGAGGCAGAATACAAGGAATTTCTGGCAGGCTGGAGGTGACATTTTTGGGTCACCTCTGGGTTTGAACTAGGCACACAGAGGACCTGACAAGGAGCTTGTCCTGGAAGCCTGCTGGTGGCCATGACAGTGCTGCTGTGCCCTTGAGTTACTATGTTTACCCACCACACAGGGTAGTGTGGGGATGCAGGCTCTCCCTGCAACGTGTGCACCTGCAGGCAGGGACATTGGCCCACCTTTCCTGTTTTGTACCTGCTTTGAGGACTGCAGTTACCACTGGTGAGACCCAGAGAATCTCATCTGCCAGCTCCTGAATGTCGGTGAGGCCACTTCAAATCCTGTTAGTCCAAGACAAAAATCATTTAAGGTCGATTTTGTACACACACACACATGCGTGGCCCATGATCTGCTCAGAAGGGAAGTGACGTATCGGGGTTTGTCCCAGTGCCCTTCAGCCAGAGAACACATAATAATGCCCTGTAGCAGAGAACCAGCGGTTGATATGGTTCCATGAGGGCCTAGGGTCAGCAACTAACTCTTAGTACTCAAAATATGGAATCCTAACAGCTACACTGTTAAGTACACTGTTAAGTACGTGCACGTGGCTGTGACCACTTGAAATGTAGCTAATGTTCTTAAGTCAAACACACACTGGATCTGGAAAAATGTAAGCTAGCTCAATAACTTTTAGGTTGGTTACATGATTGGGTGCTAATATTCTGCATACGTGGAGCTTCATACAAGATTAAAATAGATTTCACCTCTTTTTTCTTAACATGACCATAAGTAAATTCAAAAGCACCCTTGTGGCTCCTATTAAGTCCTCCTAGGGTGGCACCTCTGCATAGTGCCTTAGGACCCAGCACGAGGACCAGCACACTTGCTGCTGCCAGGGTGTAGACTCTGCTGGTGCTACTATGAGAGATGGCTGACTTAGTAGCTGTGAGAACAGCATGAGGTGGGGCTTTGGAGAAAATCCTGTAGTTTCAATCCAGTTCATTTTCTATGTTTCAGCACACCTCGGACAGCCCACAATTCAAAGTTCTGAACAAGTTGGAACAAAACTGAATGTGACAGTGCAGGATGCACGCACATTAGTCAGAAGCAATGGTACGTTCCTAAGCCTCCGGGATGTGTTTGGCACGGACTTGAGTTATACACTTTACTATTGGAAAGCTGCAAGTACAGGAAAGGTGAGCTCTTGCCCCTTGTTGTATGACCTGCTTGAAATCCTGGGTTCTTCTCTAATCTGAAAACTGCAGGGATTCGGGAGAGGGTAGTTGGAGAGGGGAGGGTGGCAGAGGGGCACACTGCCTCTTCCTGGGCTGTCCCGCTGGAGACAAGGTGGGGGGTTGCCTTCAGCCAGTGGGATGGCCTGCAAACGTCCCTCTGCTCTCCCATTGCTTCTCCTGATTGGATTTCTGGTCAGTTACCTTTTCCCTTTCATTGTTGATCGCTTCCAAAGGGGCTCAGGTGGGCTGAATATGCCAAAACTGTCTTAGAAAAGGCAGCTTTGGCAGCTGTCAGGGGGACTGAAGTGGCCCGGCACAGTGCGTCCGAGCATGCCTGTGTCAGAAGTGTCCGCGTATTCTTTGCTCGGGACTTCTCCTACCATGAGCACTTACTCTGAGCCCAGGTGCATTCAGAAATCCATGTCTTTTCACAGAAAACAGCCACGACGAACACCAATGAGTTTTTGCTTGACGTGGATGAGGGAGAAAACTATTGCTTCAATGTTCAAGCAGTGATTGCCTCCCGGAAGATTAATGCGAAGAGCTCTGAAAGCCTGGTGGAGTGCACCAGCCACGGGAAAGATAGACTGAAGGGTGAGTTGCTGCCCTGCCATTCTCGAGGGGGTGTGGGTGTCCCCCGCCTGCAGAGCCAGCCTCTCCTTATTTGGTTTCAGCATTCAAAGGGAAACTGCCTTGGATTTTTTGCTTTTGGCTTTTTAGAACTGTTTCTGTGCTGTTCCTTTATATTAGCAAGTATTTTCTTGAGCAGCTCGCGTGTGCTCATCTCTCCTTGGAGCACTGAGTACTCAAATCGTGTTTAGGATTTAGCCTCCAGCCGTTTTTGTCACAGAGGGGGGTGGGATGTTCTGATACAGGGAGGGGGCTTCCTCTGGACCACCTGCAGCTGTGCCTGGTAGGACGGGCGGCCCCAGAGGCTGCTGTCTCAGAGGCTGTGGAGTCCAGCCCAGCTGGAAGGGATGGACGATGTGATATGGGCCCCGTGCCTGTGTGTCCGTGGAGCCCAGCCCTGAGCACAGGCATATGCACACATCGTGGTGGCTTAGACGCTGCACGTTCCCAGCAGCTGGCTGTGCTTACTTCTCACTTCATGTATCACACGACTCCATTTCTTCTGTGCCCCATTAAATGCTTTTAGTCCTGACCAACCGCAATAAATCATCTAGGATTTGACAGCCTTTCCTAACCTAAGTGTCATGGAAAGTGTGGGAGAATGAAACTTCCCGTGTCACTGAGCTCGCCATTCTGCCCCCTGACGTGTGGGCCCTGAGCGCTCCAGGCTGACCGGGGCCTTTTATTTTTCAGAGATATTCTTCATCACTGGGGGAGTGGTGATCATGGTCATCGTGATCATTGCCTTGTCTCTGATGCTGTACAAGTGCCAAAAGGCAAGAGCAGGACGGAGTGTGAAGGAGAGCTCGCCACTGACCATTGCATGAAAGAGGCACCGTTGCAGGTGCCAGCTGCTGCCGAGGCTATAAGGGAGCAAGAGTGGTTCGCAGAAGACGTGGAGATGGAAATAAGAAGCCTGGGGTGGTTAAAAGCCCTTTTTGTGCCCTGCTAGTGTGCTGAGTGTCCTGGTTTGGACCCCAGCAGCAGGCACTTGAAACAGTGATGAATGGTACAGCTTGATTCAGTGACTGTAACACAGTGGCAGCTTTTCAAAGGAACAGATGTCTTCAAGTAGCCTAACCGGGCTTTGGGGGCATGTCCTGAAAAGCTGACTTGAGGCGACGTCGAAGAGTACGAAGGAGATCAGCCTCCTTTCCTAAGCCACGTCTGTCCTTTCATGGTACCGTGTCCTTTCTTCTTCTTGCCGGAGCATTTTGAGAATTCCAGACAGTTGGCAAAGTTTGCGATTCACATGTTAAGTACAGGAAAACTTCTGTTTGGGACATCTTCCCGAAATATACAGTACAGTTTAGCACTTTAATTGACATGACTAATGTTGAATTAAACATTCAACAGCTAGTTACATTTACATAAGACTACTACATGAACTACCTAGAGTTTATGGTTCAAGGTACTTAAAGCTTCTATGGTCAACAGTGTATATATTTATGTAATTTTTTTAAAAGGTTTGTATATGGGGATTTTCTATTTATATAGATGCTGTTTATATATTGAAATAATTTATTTAATATACTTTTATACAAATAAAGGTGACTGGGAATTATGTCTCTTATCTTCCAATTGTTATTTTTGATTTGTTTTTTGCACTAGTCAGCCCTGCCCCAGTAACAGCCCTAAAGATCCCCCAGTGATCTGTAGCAATATATCTTCCTATTTCATTTAAATAACATCTTGGCAACTCTAGTTGGGCTGCATCCCCTGTCGATACCTTTTCATTGTAGGATCCAAATTCCAATCAGGGCCGAGGTAGAAGCAAAAACCTGGCAGACACAAGAATCCCGGCCTCATGGGGCCGCCTCTGGTCCTGTTGTCACCTCCCGGCCCATGTCCACAGCACCAGGAAGCTGTGTGACCACACCTGATAACCCTCTGCCCACTGGGAGGTGCCACAAGCCACATGGAAGTGGCCATGGAGGTAACCTTGACAGGAAGGGAGGAAAGGATGCAATCCATCAGACTTCAGATTTCTTTCCCTGCAAGCAGAACTTTGAGCCGTGGATAAAGATTTCAAAGGGGAAAGAACAAAAAAATTAAATAAAAGGACAATGGAAGACACACCTGGAGTGAGGCCTCTAGAGTGAGAGCCAGGTGCTTGCAGGGGGCTGGATAAAGTTCATGGTGCCCGCCACTTCCCCGCCCTCCCCAGACTGCACACAGCACACAGCTCAGTCACGGGCAAGTTTATCACCTGAGGCTACAGAAGCAGTCCTGATTTCCACAGTGCCGCAGGACCCCTAGGATGCCCCCTGGAGAGGTAATGAGGTTCTTGATCCCCCACGGGGTCATCACATCCTCTGCTTCTTGCTGCAGGTGGCTGGGCTACGAGCACCTCCAGGTGGTACCCCACAAAGCCACCATGCGGGCATTCAGCACAGACTCCATTCACTATCCAGCTTCCTAGCACAGCAAACATCCCTGACATTCCTTCACACCAAAAAGCGCAGAGTATCACCACGGAAACCCTAAACATGAGCACTGTGTTTTATAACATTACCTCCTAAGGAAGGATGAGCAGAACAAACCTTGGCTGTCCCAGGAAAACGGTAGCTTGAAGGAAAAAAAAAAGGTGGTGGGTGTTTAGAAGGGAAGGCAAGGGGACGGGCGGTGAGCTAACAAGGCTGCCTTTGCTCACGGGTTCCTCCTAACTACCCCCACCCGCACCCCTGGCCTGGGTCACTGCTGCCGAAGGCGGCTGGCTCTGTGCTGCTAGAGCCTTTCATTGTTACATTCGTGGCAGAGCCCAAGAGAGGAGAGAAAAGCAGGCAGCGGCCATGGCCTCCAAGCAGGGTACTTCAGCCATTATCTTGCATTCCTGCTCACACGGGGTTCTCAGGGGACATAGCACTCAATGCCCACACGCGGGACACAGCCAGTTCCAGCACACGGTGTCTGTGTAACTGGGCACTGCCCCTGCCAGGAATAATTACAGCATGATGTCATCACACCGCCTCATAATCTAAGGAATGTGAATTATCCCCCAAGGAAAGCTGTGGCTGACAGGAGAGCAGGGCTGACTGCTACGGAGGCTGGTACAGGAAAGAAATTTTTGCTGGACCTGAATGAGGCTGAACTACAAGGATTAGAGAGAGCTTCAGCACTCAGATCTTGCTGCTCCTCCCATCGCCACACTGCTGACTGCCACTGCGAAGCAGCTGCCGCTAAAATCTGCACTGGAGCAGAACCCGGCACTGTCTGCTGCTGGTTGGCTCCGGAAGCCATGGCCCTTCAGGCCAAATCACACTCCTTACCTGAGCTGCCAGGTATTCCAGAAAGCCCGTTGCAGGTCAGTAACTAAAGTGTTGAGTTCATCTGGCAGGTCTTCAAAAAATTAGGGAGCATGCACATTATGGGGCTTTTTGGCACCGAATAAAACCAATGCTTTTACTCCACTTTCCATGAACTTCTGAAAGTCCCTTCCTTTCACAAATGAATAGTCATGTAATGCTAGCTCAGTTCCAGCAGAAGGCTGATCTGTGAAGTGCCTGCCTCTAACATAAGCAACTCTCTGTCATCATTAAATAGTGAATAACCAGGCCCCACAGTGGGTGCACCTGTTTTTGAACGTGTGTGTGTTTAGGCCGTATGATCTGTCCCCTGACGGTTGCCTGGGAAGGTTCGTCCCTGTTGTCCAACAAGGTGGCCGTCATTCCTGCAGGTGCTTAGGGTAGGCCTTAGTCCTTCTCAGTGCAGCAGGAGATCCAGGTGGTGTGGTGTTGCCCGTCAGCATATTCATCTCTTCCACATAGCTCCAGAATGGGCATAGGGAAGGCAGAGGACTCAACAGCGTTTAGCACAAAGCTCAGATTTTTTTCTGGAATGCTGCAATGGTCTCCTGCTTAAAGAACATAATATATGAAATGAACCTGCATTCCCAGAAACTGCTGGGGGGTCATCTTGAGACCACAAAGGGAACCAGCCTTAACCGGAGCTGACATGTTGCAGAGCAAGTGCCACGTGGCAGACAGATGTCTTGGGTGACATCACCAAGCTGCTAACAGAGCCTTGCCTGAAGTCCCTGCCCACGCACTTTTCTCTGGATATTATCCAAGCAGGCGCTTACGCAAGCTTGAGCCAACATTTTGTTACGTGCTGTCCACACTACTGGGTGCTGTCTAAGCACTGATCACAGAGGATAAAAGAAGCAGGTGCCTGTAATACAAACTTACCAGGCAAAATAGCATCCATTCTCATGTATTTCAACTGAGGACTTTGTGCCTAAAATTATTCCATCTTTTTAGCACCATCAATTTCCCTATTATTTGATAGTTTCTATCATAATACGAACATGCTGTTTTGCCTTCTCTTTTAGAAAACAAAAGAAAACAAAATAACCTTTCCTGCTAGCTGTGTGACTGGTAAAATTGCTGCTTGCAATGCTGGCATCCCATATGGGAGCTGGTTCATGTTGCAGCTGCTCCACTTTCCATGCAGCTCCCTGCTAATGGCCTGGGAAAAGCCCTAGAAGATGATAAACATCCTTAGACCCCTACATGCAGGTGGAAGAGCCTGGAGAAGCTTCTAGCTCCTGGCTTCAGCACTGGCTCCATCCTGGCTGCTGTGGTCACTTGGGGAGTGAGCCAAAGGACGACAATTCTCTTTCTCTCTGTTCTCATTCTGTGTGTGTGTATGTCCCTATCTCTGTAACACTGATTCTCAAATAAATTAATCCTTTAAAAAGCAATTTGGGTACAGAAGCTCTCATGTGGTTTTCCTACTTGCTTCTGTCTGGACACCATCTTCTTTCCAACTTCTCATCATCGGGTTTCCTCAGCACTCAAACCCCATTCTCCATGAGCGATCACACCTTGGGTACAAGCCTGTACCCTGGCTGGGTCATGCAGCTCGCTTCGCTGCGGCCCCGTGGCCCTCCCAGCTGCCCCCACGAGTGCGCAGTGGCTCCCGACTGCCTCCACCACCCCTCTATCGGGCCTCTGGCAAGACTTCCACCTGCACATTTCCAAAGCGAATCCTTCCTTCCTCCCAACTTCCAAATCAGCAACACATTGCTGATTTCCACTTTCTCCCCCACTCCCATGCCACATCCAAGTCCTGAGCAAAGCCTGCCAGCGTGACTTCCGAAATGCTCCAAGGCTAAGGTGACTTGCTCAGCCATCCCTCTCCTCCCAACCTTCAGAATGCACGCCTACAGGAGGGCTGCCACAGCCGCGGCTACCATACTGTTTCCTTCATGATCATTAGAATATTCCTTTTACAAACATAAATTCTGCTGCCATGGATGTTGCTTTCATCCCTCTGTGGGAAGGGGAAGGAGACAGCATTGATCCCAGAATCTCCTCTGCAGGGTGACTTGAGCCAGCAGTTTGCCAGAAGAGAAATCTGCTCATGGTTCCAACAGAACTGGAGCAGCCATCCTTACAAAGGCAGAGAGGAACAAACACAGATGTGCCACTGGGTCAGGCTCACCCTGCTCTCTCTTAACACATTGTTTTCTAAGACAATGCTTGCAAATGCCTACGGGAACCAGGAGCTCAACCCGGGTCTCTCACACAGGCTCACAGGGACTCAACGACTGGAGCTGCTCCCCAGGGTGTGCAGTAGCAAGTACCAAACAGCTGCCCCCACGACTAGCTTTTATTCCCCTGACTTCTAACTCTGCTGACGGATTAGTGAGTGACCTCGCAGGTCTGCAAGGGCTGTGACTGTAGGGCAATGTGTCTTGTGTAGGCTTGCCCACCAACGCTAGGTCACCAGCTCCTCTCCCACTGATGTCCTTGGACCTCAATCGTCAGTAGGAATCCACCACTGCTTCAGGGGAGAGGGCTGGGCCTTGATGCCCAGGCCGGGCCATGCCCCAATGCCTTGCTCAGGCCGGTCCCCAGACCGGATACCTAGTCCCCTCCATTCAGTCATTCACTCCAGACTCAGGAGCCAAGCAATCCTGGAGGATTTCTGACCCCATAGGGGTCACA